GGGCTGGGCACGGGGGTCCCCACGGGCAGAATTTGTGCTGAGGTTGGGAGCTCAAGGGCCCCCTGGCGTGGCGTGGTGGCCATATCCCTGATTATTTGGGGCCGTGATCTCAGCTCGGTGGCATCCCTCCACTCCTGCCAGTTCCTCTGTCCAGCTCTGGGAAGGATTGGGTTTCCCACAGACACGGCAGAAGCTCTGGGTGCTCTCCCCAGTCCAGTTTCGGTGTGGTGAGGGTACCGAGGTGGGTTATTGTCTGAGGGCCCCGAACCTGCCTCTGAAACCTCCACAGCTCTTTCGCCCCAAAACGTGGGCACCTTCCCTTGTGTGACATCCCTCAGGAGGCCCTGCCAAACATCTTTTTGGGTTTTCACCTCTTCTGGGCTCGTGATCCCCTGAGAAGCTGCTGCCTGGGGTTAATCACGTAGCAGCGTGGTTAAGCCCACGCGCATCCCACACGCTCAGTGCCGCCGGGTTTCTGCGCTCCCCACCCTGAAACACACGGAGGGGACGAGAGACGCAAGCAGGGGTGACAGCTCTGAAGCCAGCGAGCGGTGGCATCCAGGATGGGTGGTGGCACCTCCACGTGCTTGGTCCCACCACGCTGGAGGTGCTGGCTGGGAAGGAGCTCTGGGTGAAGCGTAAAAGTCTGAAGCAGGAGAAATAAATTGTGTCTCTGACGGGATAGCATTATTACGAGGTGTGGCCGGACAGTTTCTTCTGGCCTTGCTGTCAAACCACCGCTGAAACCTTCCCCGAGGCAGCGACGGAGGCTGCTAGGAGCCGCTGCCCTTGGCGGAGGAGCGGCGTGTCTCCGTGCAGGGGACAGGAGATCCAGGGTGGCTTTGCCGCGCGCCAGCCGGGTCCCTGAGAGCACACAGCGGGAATTTTCTGTGTTTCAGGGCAGGGTATTAACTGCTGCCCTCGGGGACGTGGGCATTAGCGCAGGGGGACGCGGGCTCTGCAGCTGGGAGGCAGCGAGGACAAGTGGTCGCCGAGCTGGGGAGCCTAAGCTGGTCAGTGATGTCCTTCCTGCAAACGCCGCAAACGTCTTGAACCTCCCATGTCACAGCCCTCAAACGGTGTCAGGGGCTATCCCAGCTCTGGAGCTGAAGATATGGCGAGCGTTTTTTTAGGGTAGACCTCAAGAAAAATGCATTTTTCCTGGCAGGTCAGGCTGGTCCGGGGGTAGATGACATGAGGGGTGTCATGTCCCGCGGTGGTGAGCAACACCTGAGGATGTTCGCTGTCGCTTGAGCCGCTTCGAGACCTGCAGAGAGCTGGTTTGCCAGGGTGCTCTTTGTGCACGTGGAGGAGCACCCCCAAAGGGCCATTGCTGGGACACAGACTCACTGAATCACCAAATCCTTTAGGCTGGAAAAGATCCTTACGATCATCGAGCCCAACCATTAACCTAACAGTGCCAACCCACGTCCCTAAGTGCCACATCTACATGTCTTTAAATACCGAGATCTTAAATAAACACGATGACCCGGCTGCAGCGATCTGAAGTGACAGCGGGTGTCCTACTGCTCCCATCCTGACTCCCCAGCCTACAAGGAGCAGGTGGGGTTCTTCCTGAGCAGCGAGCAGCTCACCCACCTAATCACAGATCTCCCGAGGGAGGCCAAGGCACCTTCCAAAAAGGGTTGGGGCAGGTGGGGGAAGAGAAGGGGTCACCTAGTGGAAAGCAGGACGTCCTTGGCTCTCTCCCAACGGGGAATGCTGGAGCCTGCGCTGTTCCTGCCCTCTCTGGAATGCAGCAGATGACCAGACTTAGGTTTGCTGCCTTAAAACCCAAAGTCTTATCCCAGTTAGGAAAAACAAACATTGGTAACACTCCAAAGATCCTGACTCACATCTACTTTCTGTCCTCTGTTAGAAGCACAGTTTGTGCTGGAATAAAACAACACTCTCCAAACACGGGACCGTTTCAAAGGTACTGTCAGGACCCCACCACAAATGAAGTGTGAAAACCGACCGCGCGGCTTCAGCTGTGTTGACTTTATTTAGAGTAAACGCCACTCCTCGCGGGCTGTATCGCAAATCCCCTGCACTTCTAGCAGCAGAGACTTCATGCTCCAACCCCCTTGGATGAGTTTATTTTCAATGCTTTGGTGGAGATCCTGGCTTTCCCTCGGTTTCTTGCCAAGAGGTCACAACAGCTCATCTACACTTGGAGCAGCCGCATTGCTCTTACTTCATTTTCATAAACGTTGAGGATCACTCCAGGCAGAGCTGATCGTTCAGACCCTGTTGACGCCCAAGGGTTTGTACTCGTAGGGAATGAGCTGCTGCCAGAAGCCATTGTTGGGTCGTACGATGGGATGGCAGGTGGACACCTGCCAAGGACATCCAGTGGTGCTTCAGGAGACAGGCCAAGCAGGTGGTGGGGACCTGCACGTCCCGTCAGCGTCCCAGCCCACGTGTCCCCACGCCGTGGATCTTGGCTGCTGTGGGGTCAAAGCAGACGGAGATACAGGCAGGGTGTCCATCATGAGGACGCGCAGGTACTCGGTGTCAGGACGGAGGGTGTCCTTCACCTCCAGGGAGATAGATGGTGATGGAGGGTGAAGAGAAGGAATCGGCTGTAGGCAGCCACCATGTCATTAGGGTAGGGGTTGGAGGTGATTTGGGGTGCCAGGGCAGGGTCAGGAGGGCTCCCGGCGCCACCGCCATTGGGGCATGCTGGCTGTGACTGGAAATACCTGTGGAAATACACCCAGTGCTGTGCCTTGCTGTGTCCCAGCCTGCTTGGGGGATCAGCGGGAGGTGGGGGAGCCAGGCTGGCCCCGCCATGACAACCAGTGCCGTGCTCACAATGGCAGAGGGCAGCAGTGCCATGGAGGAGCAGGGTGACACGCGGCCTCGTGTCACCTTCTTCCCACCACCCCAGAGCCGGCATCCCGGCGG